CATCAAGCAAGCCTTAGCACTTTACTCCAAATGCTCCATTCAAAAGCTCTGTCTCCTGCAGGAGCCAGACAGAGACTGAGATGGCAGCACAGCCCAGGAAGCTGCATTTTTAAACTGCACAGCTTTTTTCCTGCTACGGCTGCTGAGTCAGGGAAATTTCTTTGCAGCACGCCACCCACAAACAGTAAAAAGCTGTGTTAAACTCTCTGTCCCTTATTTTTAAGCCTTCTCAGGTTTTTAAGTGGGTTTAGTTACCATGTTGGGCGCCGCTCTGTAGAAGGAGCAGTGGCCTGCGGTCCAGATCCTGGCTAGCTTACCCCCGAAATAATTACACGGAAAATGTATTCTTTTAAACACTGCTTGGCCCATTATATCTAGCCTCTTATTAACTAACTCTTACATATTGATTCAACTCATTTCTAATAATCTGTATATCACCACGAGGTTGTGGCCTACCGAGAAAGATTTAGCATGTCTGACCTGGCAGCTTCATGGTAGATAGCTCTCTGCCTCTGCTTTCTTTCTCCTACAATTCTGTTCTGTCTTCCCCAACTACCTATGGTCTGATCTATCAGGCCAAGCAGTTTTCTTTATTAATTAACCAGTGAGAATAACGCATAGATAGATTACCCTCCTCCATAAAAAAATCAACCATTTTATCAGATTACTGATTCAGTTATAAGAAAATTTGATTTATTAATTTAATTTCCTAGTCCTTTAATCAGCGAGATCTAGATTTAACTCTTGCTTTGAATAATATAATATGTGACTGGTAAACAATTATAAATATTTGTAATCTAATAACCCTGTTTATTCATCTAAAATCTAAGTTCAAGTATGTACAAAATATAGCATGTAAGGAAGTTAACACCCAGCTTGGCATATCAAGCTCTTGGTCTGTGCCCTGTGGCATAAATCAATATGTTGTTACAAAAGATACACGGAGGAGAAATTGCAACACTTAAAATCAATACTTCGTCATTATGCCTCCTATAGTTGTAGGTTTAATTATATTGATAAGGAAACACAAACACGAAGAGGTGGCTAACTCTCCACAGACAGCAAGGACAGAACTTTGAGACAGTCCTCCAGTGTGTTCCATGAACAGGATTTCCCTGAGGAGCTAAAAGGCATCCATGCTCCAGTTTGATTCCCTGCTTAGAACTGTGCCTCAGTGGCTCTACATGGAGCATTTCAGTGTCCCCTGAACTGAATGGGCTGCTGATTACAAGGAAGCAGTGGAAAGCTCCCTCTCTTGTCAGGCCTCCTGCAGTGAGGTGGGTGAGGAGCTCCCAGGAGGCCTCTGGGGGCTGAGTAACAAAATGTGAAAGTCAATGTCAGAATCTAGGATAACTGTGGCAGTGAACTAAGCAGTCTGCCCCATGAGGCTCAGGGTGAGTCACGAGTGGAAAAGTAGATTTCTCACTAATGTGTCTCTGAAGGCTGAACAGGAAATTCTCATACCCGACTGATTTTGAAATCAGGTTTTCTCATCACACCTTTACAATGTAGGTCATTTTGTCTTATTGAAAGGATATGGTGGTCAGCTAAGTGTGTGATTTTCCGAGTACCTTACAAGAATTATTATGTGTTCTCAAAAGGTGAGAGAGGATTAATCACCAAGCTTCCTCTTCAAGAGATTCTTTGACGAGTTTTCTCGTTTACTGAAAAATAGTTTTTATACAATATTTTTTGATTTCAAGTTCTCCTCCCTCTACCTCTTCCAGTTCCTATATAGCACCTCTCCCATCTGAATCCTAACCCTATTTTTCTCTCATTGAAAATAAACAGGCATCTAAGGAGTAATACTAAAATAAATAAGTATAATACATAAGTCATAAGAAAACAAATCATAATAAAAAAAGAACTGAACAAGAAAAAGAGTCAGAGAAAAAGATTGAGAATAAAAGTACAAAATGCAGATGGATGCAGAGACACACACATTCACATTAAGGAATCCCTCAATAATCCAAAACTGTAAGTTACAATAGATGTGCAGAGTATCTTTAAGTTAAAAAACAAATAATCAAAAGAAAATGAAAACCTTACTTAAATTTATGAGACAAAGAACCTTCAAAGATGCCATTGAGTTTGTTTTGTGTTGGTCATCAATAGCTGGGCATGAGGTTCACCCTTAAGAATGGTTTGTTTTTGCAGCATGACCCTCTTTAACAAAATTAAAGTGTCATTTGCAAGTGACCACCACTTAGAGAAAGCCTAATCGGTGTGTTAGGTAGAAGAACTTGCTTTGTGGCCTGTGTTATGACCCTATTTGGAGACTCTTTTAACTGCCACTTGAAAGAACCTTTATTCCTTATCAGCCAAAATTCTATTGCTAAAACTCTTCCATATTATTGTACATGTGTTTCTATATTATTTACAAGTCTCTGAAACATATATTTCCTGTTTTGACTTCACAGTATTTCATTTATATTTTTATATTGCGGAAGCGTATTTGACTATTTTTATTTCATTTCCTATGGCCACACCTTGTTTCAGTCACAAAGTTGAGAAAATCGATTGTTCTACATTTTCTATATTGAGGCAGGTGCTCTGTTGATCCCAGAACTCACTGACAAATGTGTTCTAGCTGTCCTTTTTACTCCAACGATCTTCTATTTCTGCCTCCCACACTTTGGGATTACCTGCTTGAGACCACACCTGTCAAGCACTTATATGGTTTCTGTTGTTCCTAATTCTGGCCCTTAGCCTTCCACATAAAGTATCATAGCCATTAATCTATCCCGCTAGTCTACGAAGCAGAATTCTCAGGGAACAGGAAATCAAACACTCACTTCACGTTTTTCTTTGTACACTAATGTTGTAACAGCTATTGTAAGATGTTAACTGCTCCTTTGTACAACAATGGAAATAACATAGCAAAGATTAGAAATTATCTCCCTGCAACAGTATTGATATTTAACGGCTTTGCATTGTTCATAGTTATATACAAGCATGTATACATTACATGCACATTCATAGACTTGTACATATAAAATAACACTTACACTAATACACATATGCACAGAGAAATGTCTAGCACACAATCCTAAATCTATCCCCGTATAAGGAAAACAAAGAAACACACAACAAATGTTTCCAAAGTCATGGCATAAAATGACTCTTTTGAAACATAATTGTTTAAATCTTTTTTTTTAGGTTATAAACTTATTGGCCCATTAGGTCAGGCTATTTATTAGCTCTTATAACTTATGTTACCCCATTATCCTGATCTATATTAGCCACATGACTCAGTACCTTTTTCAGCTGGGCAGGTTACTTGCTGTCTCTTTGGTGGTCTGCACAGGAGTGGCAGAGGAACCACCCTGCTTCCCAGAATTCTCCTGTTCTCATTGCATCACCTCTACTTCCTGTCTGGTTTTCTCGCCTATACTTCCTGCCTGGCCAATCAGCGTTTTATTAAAATACATGATTGACAGAATACAGATAATTCTCCCGCGCCATTTCCCTCTTTTTTTTTTTTTTTTGAATACCTATAGTCCATTTGTTGGGAATGTGGGCGTAGTATTTCAGGCTACTTCCTGCTGTTTGGGGGCACTGATGATCTTATGGGGACCTAAAGAAAATTTAGACTTATAATCAAGTCATGACTGGAGTATCCTGTGAGTCTCGATCATCTCAGGTGGCAGTCTTGAATCTGTTCTGGATGTAGAATTCAGATATCTGGGCCATCTGTTCCTGTCGGAGATTTCTCAAGTGGCCTTCCTTGATCATGCCGGCTTTCTGGACTGTCCTGCCAGAGCAAACTCTTAACTCTTTCAGGCAGGCAGTCCGACTGAGTGTGGTCTGTGAGCAGAATACTACAGCTTGCTTACTAGCAAGGACCTTGAAACGCCACAGAGTTGTGGCAGTGAACACAGCTCTGGCTGGTATTTCAGCCGTGAGGCTGGAAAGCTAAGGAAAGGGCTGGATCTAGCCATCAAAGCCACGACTCTCCATATTGCTTAGTAAATTAAAGGCTTATGTAGTCAGAAAAAGAGAGATATACAGTAAAGAGAGATTCAAAGAGGAAGAAAGCCTCTAACTGGTTTACAGTGTGTTAAAAATATATGCAGGCTAAAGGTTAAAGTTCTTAGAAGTAAAAAAGAAAGAAAGGGAGAAATAGGGTGTGGTGGTACACACCTTTAATCCCAATGCCTGGGAGACAGAGGTACATTGACCTCTGAGACTTTAAGGGGCAGAGGTAGTTGACCTCTGTGACTTCAAGGTGTGGTAGCACACACCTTTAATCCCAATGCCTGGGAGGCAGAGACAGACAGATCTCTGAGTTCAAGGTGTGGTAGCACACACCTTTAATCCTAGCACTGGGGAAGCAGAGAGGCGTGGATCTCTGTGAGTTCAAGTTGTGGTAGCATACACCTTTGAGCACAGCACTGGGGAGGCAGAGACAAGTGGATCTCTGTGAGTTCAAGGACAGCCTGGTCTACAGAGTTATTCCAGGACAAAGATATACAGAGATCCTGTCTCAAAAAGTAAAAATAGAAATAAAAGAAATAGAGGTTAAAATAAAGCCGCATAAAGATGGAAAATGCACAGAGAATCTTGATACTATATGCTATTATGTTCTCTTTGAATTGTTTGAATGCTGAGGAAGGAGTAACAGCTGCTAAAAGACTTTTGTTTATAAATGCTGCTGAACTAACCCAAGATAGGAATTTTGAAAATACCTTGGCTTCAGAACTGAAGTCAAAAGGTATGTTACTTTGGAGAAGAAATTTTGCTTTTGTTTCCACAGAAAATGAGAGGTTGTGGATTCATTCTGAGTTAAGAAAAATTGTTTAAATCTTGCTATGTAAAAGCAGTAGCAAATTTGAGGCAATTGGTGATTTCAAGCATTTCCTTTCAATATTGTATATGAATAAATGTTTTCCTAGTGTCTTTGTCTGTGAAGATTCATTGACTATTTTTATTGTTTATTTTCCCTGAAAGTGTAGATCACTTTTGTGTAGTCTGAGATCAAGACAAATTACATAAATTACATAAATATGAAAATCTATATACAGAGACTTCCAATGTTCAGAGTGAAAACTTCCTTATAATCATATAAAACCTTCTCACAGATGATAATTGTTTATCTACCATGAAGGAGAAGATGATCCTTTGGAGTCCAGACACAAATTCATCTGAAGGGAGCAGGAAATCTGTAGGGGGAACAACGAGTAATATGGAGGGAGACAGCTGCACAGGAGGTAAAATGCATGGAGAATAGAAAAGATAAACATGGATGAAAATGCCACATCCACAGATCTAATTTTCTTTATAGAATGGACATTTGCATTTTCAATAATTGTGTTACTCCATGAGTGCTTTGTAAAATGCTAGGGATTTAAGCAACATATTAGTAATATTATCCTCAGACATTAACACAGAAAAATGAGAACATATTATATTTGAGCCATGGAAATTCTTGTCAATTTCATCAAGGTGCTGGGGATCACTTTGAGAGTGCAATTCTAGACAAGCAACTTCTTGTGCAAAACTGGACTGTATATGCAACTGTCCTTCTTTTCCTATGCTCATTCTTGGGTTCTTTGGCCTGATTCAGGTCATAGTAAACTCAGCTCTGCAGCAGAAGGTCTCAGAAATTTTAATCTAGGTAAATGTGCTTTAGACAGTTTTGTAAACTTATATAATATGGGAAGCTTAGGGCATCCAACTGGTTGAGATGTTGTGAACACTCCTTGTCTTACAGCTGTATACAAAAATCTAATAGAAATATCTTCAGATATTTGAATTATACCTCACAATAAAATTAAGAATGTTCCAACAGATGTCTGCGTTCAACATAAATTCATACTTGGGACCACATAATAGACTGGTGAACTAAAGGTGAGAAAGCCTGGTTCTCTGGTTTGTTTTTCGGTTTTTATGATTAAACATATGGATTAAAAGCAACAAAGTAAGGAAATGATTTGTTTCAACGCATACTTCCAGGTCACATTCATCACTGAAGGAAGCCAGGGCAGGAACTGAAGCAGAGAGCATGAAGGCTCGTTTATTGCTGCTTCCATCTCTAGCGTTCTTATACAATTATGTAGCTAGAAGTGGTGCCACAGACAATGGGCTGGGCTGGCCATGCCCGTATCTGCCATCAGTCAGATAACCTCTCTTTGTGGCAGTCACATGCCTAATCTGATCAATGCAATTTCTCAACTGAGACTCCCTCTTCCCAGGTTGTGTCAAATTTACAACGAACTAGTAAAAAGCACCTCTTTTTGATGTTGGATGTCTTTCTGTATATATTCTGCTTTTATTGGTTGATGAATAAAGATTTTTGGCAAATGGCTTAACAGAGAAAAGACAGAGGGGAAATCTGAGCATATATATATATATATATATATCAGAGAGAGAGAGAGAGAGAGTAGGTGGAGTCAGAGACTCCATGAATTTGCCCAAGATGCTAGAGGTAACAAACCACAAGCCTTGTGGTAAAATATAAAATAATTGAAATGGCTTAATTTAAGTTGTAAGAGCTATGGCAAACACAAATAATATTTCGTTAACTGTTATGCACTTAATGGCTTTTCTTAATTAAGAATTATAAAATAGCACATTTTTTCTTATGAAAGGTTGATTTCTTCAAAGGCAAAATTACAGAAGGAAGACTTTAATATGACATGAATTCATAAAAAGTGAAATCAGAAATAACTTTCAATTCTCAACAAATGAGACAGAAAGTGGAAAACAATAAGCTGCAAAAGTATGATCAAGAAAAAAAATTACAACAGAAAAGGTCAATAAGGACCAAAGTAGATTCCACTGAAGAGACAGAAAGCCAAGGTTGGTAACACACAGCTCTAAGTCTCAGCTCTTAAGAGGTAGAATGCTTGTTGACAGTTTGATGTCAGACTGTGCTAAACAGTTAAACACTATCTTCAAAACAGAACAAAGGGTTGAGGGGGGCTCAGTGGGTAAATGTGATTGCCACCATAATTTTTAAACTGAATTTAAATCCTGACTCCGACACTGTAGAAAGAGAGAACCAACTCCTGTAAACTGTCCTCTGACTTCTGTACATGGGCAATGGCATATGTGTGTGTGTGTGTGTGTGTGTGTGAGTGTGTGTGTGTGTGTGAGTGTGTGTGTGTGTGTGTGTACGCACACACATGCAAACACATGACATAATTAAATGTGAAAGAGTATTTAAAAATAAAAGGAAGAAGAAATAGACTCAAGACAATGATTAAAGGTCCATGAAAAAAGTGTTACGAAGTTGAAAATATTTTATGCGTGAATTTAATTTTTTTCCTTACAAGTTTTGCAGACCTATGATACTGAAACTATATAAAGAAATCATTTCAGGAAGATTGCCAAATTTATTTTAAGAGGCTACAATCACACTGGTACTCAAATTACAAAAAGACTCACAAAGAAGAGACTTACAAGACTTACAAACCAATTTTCTACATGAACACTAATATGGATGCATAATACTCAATAAAATACTTGCAAATTCAATCCAAGACCACATCAAAAAGATCCACCAGGATCAAGTAAGCTTCATCCTAGAGATGCAGGAATTGTTCAACATACAAAAATTCATCATTGTAATCTGCTATAACTGAAAGAAAAAAACGCACATGATCATCCATCTCATTAGATGCTGAAAAAGCCTTTGACAGAGTCCAAAACTCCTTCATGAAAAAGTATTGGAGAAATCAGGGATACAGGGGCCATTTTTAATTATAGTAAAGGCAATTTTCAGCAAGCTTGTAGACAATATCTATTTTAATATAGAAATATTCAAAGCAATTCCATTAAAATTAGGATTGAGACAAGGCTGGCAACTGTCTCCATATCTATTCAATATAGTACTTGATATTCTAGTTGAAATAAAATACAAGTGAAGAAGATCAAAGGAACACAAATTGAAAAGGAAGAAGTCAAAGTAATATAATTTGCACATGATATGATTATATACAAAAGTGACTCCAAATATTCTAGCAGGGCACACCTACATCTGATAATCACCCTCAGCAAAGTGGCTGGATATGAGATTAACTTTAAAAAGTCAGTAGTTCTTTTAGATATAAATTACACATGGGCTTCAAAAAATTTCAAGGAATTAATACCCAACACAATAGGTTCAAATAATATAAAATACCTTGGGATAAATCTAATCAAGCAATTGAAAGACATGTGTGACAAGAACTTCAAGTCTTTGATGAAGATATCAGAAGATAGAAATGCTTCCTATGTTCTTGTATCAATAGAAGTATCATAGTAAAAATGAACATTTTAACAAAAGCAAGCTACAGATTCTATGCAATCTTGATCACAATTCCAATTCCACAGACCTTAAAAGATCAATATTCAACTTCAAATGGAACAACAACAACAAATAGGATAGCTAAAATAGAATCAAACATGACTGGTAAAATGTTAATGAGATTATTCTTAATGATTTTCTGCTATACTCATAGATAAGAACTTGACATAATCACCATCAGAGAGCCACTAGTTGAAACTTGACAAATCCTTATGGAGAAAGTGGAAGAAGGATTCTAGAAGCCAGAAGGGTTCCGGACATCACAAGAAAACCCACAGAAGCTACTAACATGGACCTAAAGGGGCTCAATGAGAAAGAACTGACCATCAGGGAGACTACTTGAGACTGATCTAGTTTCTCTGCATGTATGTTACAGTTATGTAGATTGGTCTTCTTATGAAATTCCTAACAGATGGGGTGGTGTCTGCTTCTGACACTTTTGCTTATGTTTTGGGACCCTTTTCTCCTACCAATTGCCTCATTTATCCTTAATATGAGGGAAGGTGACAGTCTTATTTTAACTTGAAATACCATATTTGTTGATATCCCAGGTAGACCAGCCTTTTCTGAGCTGAAACAGAAGAGGAGTGGATAGTGCAGCGGAGAGATGTTGAGTGGGGAAGAGCAAGTATATGTACATATATGGAAATGTGGTTTATAAATGAAAAACCTAGTTTTACTAAGGAAACTCAGTTTATAACCTTCAGCTTCCAGCCGAGTAATTCTAGAATGTCTTACGACAACAACACATTGGATGGTAAATTTGAAATGTAATAGGACTTCTACATGAACTGTTCTTGGATATATGTTATTTGTCATAAAATTTAACATTATAAGTGTACCTTGAGCAAAAAGGTTGAGATACATAAATAATATTTGTACTTTAGTGTGTCTAATATTCTTCAATGATTATTTTTGAAAAAAATCATTATTTGGACTGGAGAGGGAGGAGGAGAAGGAGTGGGGGGAATGGGAGGGTATGGGGAGGAGGGGAGGAAGTGGAAATTTTTATAAACAAACAAATAAAAAATAATAAAAAATCATTATTAGAACAAATAACATTATTCACTTTAATATGTACACAATTTTAATCCTATTTTCAGGTTATAAAATGCAACATTACCTGACAGACTGCAAGTCCAGGTGTTTTAGTTGGTGAGCTTATGCTTACAAAGATATGTATATAAATTTGTACACTTTTCTGCTGTGATGCCAGAGGATGACAACACGACACAGTTTTGTTCAACATGGGAAACTTCTCTTATCCTGCAATGGTGGAAACATAAAATGCATATATACTTTATGCGGACAATCTATTAAATGAATAATATATACTTTATGCAGACAATCTATTAAATGAGTAACTCCAATAAATATGTGCAAAAGAAGGATCTCATGCAAGATGGCAATGGCGTTTTCACTATGGGGTTATAAAGTCTGATCATTATGAAAGTCAAGTAGCCCATTCTTCAGATTCACATGATCAGTTCACAAAAGTCATCATCTGCAATGGACTAGCAATGTGGAATTTCCCTTTGTATGCTGTTAATACCATTGGTTAACAAAGAAACTGTTTTGAGCCAATACCAGGGCGGAGATAGGCAGGGAAACTCAACTGAATTTTGGGAGAGTGACGACAGAATCAGAGAGAAACCATGTAGCCCTGCTGAATATAGATGCTGGAACTTTTCTCTGTAAGCCACAGTCTTGTGGCACAACACACAATAATGGAAATGGGGTACATTAATATGTAAGAGTTAGCCAATAAGCCTTTATACTGAAAAGATTGCTTATCTGCATGTGCTGTTGTTTTTTCATGTGGTACAGATTATTTTTAGAATTATTATATCAGATACATGAGAAAAGATTTTCATCAGACAGATGTTCACAGTGAGAGTCTGCGGTTGGTCATGCTAGACACGGCTTGACATTGGTTTTTATATAAATCATTATATAGACTATGAGTTTATTTCATTTCCAACTAAGAGCAAGGAGTTGTGGTTAACAGTCACACAGATTACAGTATTTGTTTATGCAGTCTATACAGAAGAACTTCTTTCTATCTCCTTCTCTATATTTCTAACTCCTCTTCAAACATTCCCCAAAACCAACCTCAAGAATTTATAGGCATTTATCTCTCTCTTCTCTCCTTATCCCATTTTTTCTGGATATCTCTTAATTGCTTAATTAAGTTTGCGTTTTGGTCGTTATTTACTAAGGACCAGATCAAACCTGGAAACCTTTTTCCCTTGAATGCTAGCCCATCTTCCATTAGCATCATTACTCCTGTGTATAGCAATGTCTCATCAGTAGACTATGGAAACTTAAACATCCTATCTTCCCTTTCAGAACAAACAAGATTGTATTCCTTCAAATATAAGCAGATAATCCCAAAAGTACAAGGGCTCCAATGCAGGAAGCACAGAACACACAGTCCTTCTCTGTGGGCACTCTTCCTTGAAGCTTGTGCCACAACTTACATGAGAAATCACACAGGCAAGCATAATTAGACTGTAAATAATTCAGCTTCATTTACAGACACCATTCTTTTGAGGCTTTCTTTGTATGATATTTTCTTTTCTATTGCATTATTCATGAAAACTTACTTTGGTTTTACAGTTGAGTCATTTTTCCAAACCCAGTGGTGATCCTTGCTCTCCCAAAAGATGCTAGTCCATGCGAACGGAGAGAGGGATATCAGAAATTCCTACCAGCGAATCAAGGAATTTTATCAGTATGAAGGCTCTTATTATTTTTTTAATGTGTTAGTATATTCTGTCATGCTATATTTTTTATCCAATATAAATCTACTTATTAAAGTTGAGAAGATTTCTTATATTGCCAAAACATGCACATACATATGTCACATTGACTTAGAAGTAACTTTAAATGTTTATACTTATAAGTTTTATTCTTCTATCAGTGGAAAATTTGGCAATTGATTATGCAACTCAATAGATATTTATGCTAAAAACACAAGCATAACAGGTATTCAAATAATTTTCAAAAGTTATGTATGAAATTATCTGGGTATTGTGCTCAAATCAATTTTTTTACTGTTTCTCACAGTTCAGTTTTAAAAAGAAGGTCATGGTTTACTATTGAAGAAACGAATAATGCAATGGACATAGTTTCTGTTTTATGAGTACCATGTTATCACTAAGTAGCTCAGCGTCAACTACTGTCTATCACTGTAGGGGTGGATTACTGAAAAGTTAGTATTTAATCTTCTCTTGGCTACTGTTATAAATAAAAGGCAAGCTTGTAGAGTTATAATAAAAGGCACAAATAAAGAATTCTGAAAACTGAAACAAAAAGCTGAAAAGTCTTGACACCTGAAGATGGAGGATACAGAATTGCAGGACATCCTGTGTCTCTGGTCCAGTGGAAGAAAATGACCCTACATGCTCTGTCTCAGAACCCAAGCAACAAAATGTAGATTATGAGACCTCTACTTCATGTTTAAGACAGACTTGCCAACAGTATTAGGCAAGGCTGAAAGCCTAAGGGTAATTGTTTGTATGAAGGACTTCTCTAACTTTCTGAAAACACCAGGGTGGGACCTGGTGTCGGGGACCCCATAAGTACAAATGGTCATAAAAGATGCCTCTGTCTTTGAGGGTGTGACACTCATGTCTTCCTTCAAGGACCACCAGATATAGTTGGTTTTAGAATGCTATGCTTGTATAACACAGAAGAGCATAGATCAATGATTTGCTGTAAGAACAATAGTATTTCTTCTCAAACTTCCAAATGCTACAATACTTTTATACAATTCCTCATGTTGTGGTGACCCAAAACCATAAAATTATTTTTGTTTTCTACTGCACAACTGTAATACTGCTGTTGTTATGAATCTTAATATAAATATCTGATTTTCCCTATGGTCCTCAAGGGATTGCAACACACAGTTTGATAGCCACTGAATTGCAGGATTTCTATACAAAAATGTATACATATGTCTGATCATAGTCTTTTAAAAGTCAAAGGAATGTGCCACTAATTATAGCAAAAGTCAGCCCTAGGCAAGTTCCGCAGTCATTTCTTTGTGGGTCCTGCATGTCCAGTTTCTACAGTATCACATCCAGTATCCAGGTAAGAGCAATTTCCTGTCCAAATGACTAGAAAACCCCAGATTAAAAGGTTTTGTGCAGAAAGACCTAGTGAGAGTATGCATAGGGAAGGGACATGAAGGAAATGAATGTGTCTGCCTAGTTATCTGACTATAATTGCCTCCACCTACTCACATTCTGATCAATATTAACTATCATACACATTTAGATACTTTTGTGTACGGTAAAATTAAATGGCAAGTTAATTTCAGAGTAAATTCACTTGCACAAGAATGGTTGTCATAAAATAAGAAAAATCTGGAAATAACTATTCACTACCAGTATACAAATATAGATAAAAATGTTCTAAAATAAAACAATGAAATGTTATACAGAGTTGTAAATACATGAAATATGTATAAGAATGTGAATCGACTCCACAGACATCACACCGACAGGAAAAAAGGTTAAGCAATGATGGACACACAGCAGCTCTTACCTGCTCCTCTTTGCTCTCTATGTAAAGCAGACTAGAGTTTTTGGCTTTGCAGGACACCAAACTGTCAGTCCAATTTTTTTTCTCCCCACTAATGTAATAACAACTGTGGGAATACGACATCCACTCCTTTGGACAAAAACTACAAGGCTGTGCTGGAGAAGGATTATTATCTAGAAGCAACAGGAATTTGATAATGAAAGTTAATTTATGTTTGCACAGTTTTGAGCATCCATGTATAAATATAGCTATGAACTCCAGATGCTGGTCCTTAGATAACAAAATGCAGACTCAAACATACTCAAGCATAGTAGCAACCTCTGGCCCATAGTTTTATATTCAATCTTTCTCTTCCTATAAATACATCATTATCTTGGCTTGGCTTAAGTTAAATACAAAATATTATGTGTACCCGCATCAGAACTCTGACAAGCAAAGTGTACCTTTTGGACTTGTGTTCAGGGAGGGTTGGATCTGCTCCTTTGGTTCAGTATCTGCAGGGTTAAAGTAATTCTTAGTAAATTTACTTAGTAAAGTAAAATGGTGAAGAAAGATTATTATCTATAAGCAACATGAATTTAATAATGAGAATTAATATGTTTTCTCAGGTTTGGACATTCATAAAGTATGTATCTACACAGCCTAGAGTCTGATAAATATTAAAAAATATACATTCAAGTACACAAAGAATAGAGTCTGCCCTATGACCCCCGTGTTACTCATCTGTCTAAACTAAATAAGCAAATTTTTACAATTTCAAAGTCTCTGAACATAAATAAGTTCTATTCTAGTATAATGAGTTCATTTCTCTTATCAAAGCTCAACAGTTGGAAAATCAAAACAATTATTAAAAACTTTGCGTGGTTATTTTATCTGACTATCCCTTATTGTGGGACAAAAAGTTTATCAACATTAATGTTTACTGATGAACATATAGTGTTCATGTTTCTAGATTATTTTATTCTTAGAAATCTACTACCATCATTGCATAGTTTTAGTCAACACAAAATATAAAGTGTACAAACATCAGAACTTTGACAGGCAAGGTGTGTCTCTCTCAGTTCTAGGCAGGGAGGAGTTGATCTCTTCCTTTTCTTCAGGAACAGGTGAGTTAAAATGTTATGAAAATAAACATGTAAAATATTGTAACAATTTTAGTTTCCTAGTCTAGAGATGATGTACTATTTTGAATTAGGATACTGGGGAATACAATTGAAATTGTCAAAAAATAAATAATATGGTGAAACATTGGAAAAAATTACATCAATGAAAGCACAAATTTCATCATCTTTTTTCTATACAAGCTATGCAAACTCTTTTCAAAAAAAATCTCAGTAAAGAGTTTCCCAGGTTTTAAACTATGTATTTGTGTTATGAAATCATTAATAAACCAAAAGCAAACATAATAGCTTTGATATTCATGATATTGATAAAGTCATAAAAACATTCCACATTTAATCCACATGCATAATTAAGTGAAAGCTACTGTTCTTGATAAGTTTTGAAAGGCATTTTTAGTCATTATCTTAAAAACATGCTTACAAGTTTTGGCAACTGTAGTAATTAAAACCACAGCGACCATTAAGGCAAAGCCAACGATGCCCAGGACCACAGTGATGAGTTTTTCCGGAGGAGATGAAAAACCTGCAGAAAGAAATGTAGGGATGAAGAGTGGCAGTTCACAAGGTTTACGTACACAAAAGATCCACATACACAGTGAGTCAAACAGACAAACGTTGACCCGGATCCTCCTCTACACCGTTATCGTTTGTAGGCAGTCTCATCACAACAGAGTGATCATAAATTTTTGCAACAGAGTGACATCCACGCTCACAAATTATAAAAGCATGGATCGAGTTAGAGCTCTGGTCCTCACAAGGAGAGACCACTGCCAACTCTGCACCTATCTCTTCATGCCCCTGACATCTCAGAGCACTTACAGTGAGGGTCCATTCAGGGTCTCACCTTTGCAGCAGCAGTCCCTGCAGACCGAGGAATGCTCTGGAGAAGTATTTTGAAAGCTGAATTCCACATAGGTGATTTCCTGCTCAGTTACTGAGATGGAGCTGCGGGTGCCCGTTGGTTGCCTTTTCTGGTTCCTTGAATCCTTCGACACATTCAGGTCTGCATAGGTGACTCTTTCATTACTCATCTTGTGAGCTGAATGATGCCAGGGCCTGTGCCATGCAGCTGCTCACCAAAAGGTACACATTCTGATGCAGCCATGGGTGGGGTTTGGAACATTGGAGCTCATTTTGTGGTTTTAATTTGTGATCTGTTTTTCCTCCTTGAGCAATGAACTCATGTTCTGTGCTAAAAATAGATAAATAAAAAAAATAAATAGAGTTTTCAAAGACAATCCACTTTGGCAAAATATTTCTGATAACACAATAACTTTGTGAGGAGTAAAGATGTGTATAAACAAAAGAAAATTTTTACAAATTAAATTTAGTTTTCACCGGTGTAACACTATGAAATGTTTAAAGCTTACATCAAAGATCCCTATATTATAAAGAATAGTTACAGGAAAGAATGTTTCATTAATTTTTGCAACTTTAATTTTTATTGTCTTGAGAATTTGACAAATGAGTAGCATATTTATATCATTTCCTTTCTTCTCTCTTTCCTTCCAGCCTTTCCCATGCACTCCACTCTCTCTTGAATCTATGACCTCCTCTTTAAATATTGTTACACATAAATGTGTGCAGGCTTAACAACAACCTGCTGGACTTTTATAATAAATTTAAATCCATCAATGAGTAAAGACTGACTGCTGTAAATGGGTAGTCTAGGAAAAGTTTATATACATACATGCACATAAAACTAGCCTTACTTTTAATAGCTAATACATTTATAAAATTAAATGGCATATTATTAATATGATTCATACTAGAATGATGACGGTTCAAACGTTCCCAAAGGATCTGAGTCTATCAAAGTCAGTGTCATTTTATCACACACAATACAACTCTAATAACTCAATATAATTGATAATTGATTCAATTAACCTTGAAATAAGTAAGATCTAGAACTAATTTTGGCTTTAAAACTTACATGCGACCTTTGAGTAGTTATCAATAGCCCAGTGCATTTGTCTAAAATATGAAAAAAAAAACCACTTATGTAAGGCAATTAATACTTACCTCTGGCACGCAGAGCTCTCAGGAAATGCTAGTTATTTTATACTCTTAATTTCTACTATGACTGTTCTTCCTTCTCAGTGAGAGTCCTTTCAATAATCTGTGACATCTGGGATAAATCCATATGTTGCTATCCAAGGATCCACAGAGCACAAATTGCACCACTTGAAATCCATAGTCCATCATCAGGTCTCGGGTGGCTGAAGGTTTAATTATATCGACAAGGAAGTACAAATACGAGCGGTTGGCTGACTCTCCACAGACAACAAGGAAAGAACTTTGAGGTAGTCCTCCAGGGAATTCCACAGGCTTGGATTATCCGAGTTGTTTAGAGGTATCCACATTCCAGCTTGGTTCGCTGCATCAGAACTGTCCCTTAGTTACTCCACATGTCACATTTGCCGTGTTCTGTCAACTGACTGGAGAAGAGGCCAGTGACAAGCTCCCTCTCCTGCCAGAAAGCCGGGCCTCATGCAGTGAGGTGAGGGGCTCACAGGAGGTCTGTGGGAACTGAGCACCAAAAGATGAAAGTCAGTGTCAGAAATCTAGGACAACAGTGACAGTGAACTAAGCAGCCTGCCCCATGAGGCTCAGGGTGAGTCACGAGTGGAAAAAGAGATTTCTCATTATTGTGTCTCTGAAGGCTAAACAGGAAATTCTCATACCCGACTGATTTTGAAATTAGTTTTTCTCATCACATACCTTTAGAATAAATATAAGAAATATCCTTTCGTGTGCTGTGTAGTGTTGTCTTTTCCAACTGTTTTTCTAAAACTGCATGTGCATAAAATTGAGAGGTCAGGGCAAGGAGTTCAGCCATGATTGAAGTTAATTGTTTTCTACAGAAATCGCTATCCTTCTTGAAGAGAGACATAGATTTGCAAGCCTTGGTTTAACACTAGATTACTTTGTTTTCCTTTGCTTTCTTTCTCTTCTTCCCTCTTTTCTTCCCTCCTTCCCACCCACCCTCTCTAATTTAGGTAGATCTTTGCTTTTAGGCTGCTCATAACAAGTGTGTACAACATTATAACACACACACAAACAGTCTCTCTGTATTTATATATGTATACATGTATATGCATATGTATATTATATATGTATATATGTTTATATATTATCATATACATTGATCGAATGTATATATTATATGCTATACTGCACACATCATGCATGTGCTGTATATACATTCTATGTATATATTTTATATATTCACATGAATATATGCATATATATTATACAGGTATATATGTTAATACAGAGAGACATATTATATTTTAAATCTTAATTGTATTATACTGTAAAATTATAAATTCATAGGAATATTATGAATAACATACAATGCTATCTATTTCTGATTTTTTTGAGCAGTGATCAAGTTTTCAACTTTTTATGGCTGGCACAAAAACCTCCTTGCACACTCATCTTCTCAAACTCATGTATTTCTGTTTAATATCTCACAACTCCTAAGTTATTTAATTTTATGTGTATAGGTGTTTTGCCTTTATGTATGTTTGTGTACCATATACATGCCTAGTGTCCTTAGAAGTCAGAATACCCTTAAAGAGGAGTTACAGAAGGTTGTATACCACCATGTGGGTTTTGGGAATTGAACATGGGGCCTGTAAGAGAGCAACCAATGAACTTAATCTCTGAACTATGCCCCAACGCCCCTATATTTTATTTCATATTTTAAAATAATAATTTCTAGGAATCTTTTGACAAAAAACAAATATAGATTGAATGGATAAAACATTATTATTTTTTCTTTCTTTCTTTTTTCTTTTTCAAGATAGCATTTTTCTGTGTATCCCTGTCTGTGCTGGAATTCACTCTGTAAATCAAGCTGGCCTCTAATTCTGCCTCCCAAGTAATAGGATTAAAGGGGTGCATTCCCATTGATTGGCTACATTATTGATTTTTAAACTGTGTCAATTTATCAGAGATTAGAATTCTAAATAGTCATTTGTAATTTACTCATTCATTTTCTATCATAACTGTTTATATTTTAATAGGATTTAATTATTTTAATTAACAAAACCCAACTCAAACTAGACTACATTTAAGAAGCTTGTCTATGAAACATGAACAGATTGTGGTGGGTATTTTAAGGAGGTCTTCTATTCATATTCATTTACAGTAACAGTAATTGTGTAGCCATTCTTTGCAACATTCCTATGAAACTTTATGTCACTGACACATTGTTTGAAAGAGGGGACTCATTCAGATGGCAGTTTTCTTGAGTTAGAAATGGTCTCATTCCCTTAAGAGCTCTACTAGTACTATGCTAGACACTGCTAGTGCCCCAAACCACCTGCTTTGAGATCTCGGCTTCTGCTTGACACCATTGTTACACCCAAAGGGACCACTTGCTAGGCGTGGCCACATACATCCCCAGAGCAAGTCTGATGACCTCAGTAACACAAAAGACATAAAATGACTAGACATTGTGCACATGCCTATAATCACAGAAAAGTCAGAAGGCCAACCTTGAATTTAAATGATCCTGCAGGTTTGCATAAAGTTTGTATCTTCTATGACTTGTATGGAACATGGTGGTTCTCAGGATAAAAAGGACCAAGGAGATATATCCTGAACAGGACATAACTGTAAGACCAGAGTCAAGGAAAAACTCACTAATCCTGACTTGACTCCATGATCAGGACCAAGTAAAGAACACCCTGACCCTGACTTGACGCCAGGACCAGGACTTTAAATCCCACCAATCCTTGAATACAAAATTGCACCAATTCCCAATCTTGCCCCAGAATTAGGCTATAGAAACTCACTAATTCCAAGCTACTCTTTAAAGCTCTGCCCCGTAAGAAACAATATATAAACTCTGTATTCTCATCTGTTTGCCGCTGCTTCTTATCCTAAAGATAGTTACCTTCCTGTATTTTTCTTTCCCAAAACATGCCATGAGTGAGGATTGTATATGGCCTGACACTTTCACAAGACCTGAGCCCAGCTGTGACACTTCCGGGGAGCAGTGTCCAACTGTAACATCTTTCACAGGAGTGGAGTAGAACTGTAGCACTTTCCCTGGGGAAAGTTTTCTCTAGCAGTTCAGAGCAGTAACCCTTTTGCTGGGGCAACTCTCCCCCATAGGAGGAGCAGAGCTGTTACACTTGCACTGGGGAAACCTTCCCAGGGAGCAGAGCTATAACACTTACAGTAACTTCATGGTATTACTTGGCTCCTTCCTGCCGGATTACCTTTCCATGGAGCTCCAACTCTGACAGCCAGTATAAAGTGATGAAGCACTATAAAGTGATGAATCTTAGGAAGACAATTATGTCATGAGGCTCTGTTTTCATAGTAGAATTATTTTAGTTCCTATGAAACTAGATGAGTTTCCTTCAGAGCAAGCTATCAGAGTGAATGTAGTATCCTTGTCTTGCTGTCTTGCTTCCGGCCTCTCCATGTGAAGAGTCATTTCTATACAACAACCACTATAGCATGTGTCTCAGACCAGAAGACAAACAGCTGGTGACATATTCCCATCTGTCAGAACCACAAGGAGGGGTGCAAAACAAAACCATTTTTCTTTATGAATTAGTCACAGGCTTTATCTATAGTACAGAGAAGAGATTAAGAAGATTAATCTCAGCTCAGCCCTTCACAGTTTCAGTGTGGGAACATCCACGTACACCCAGGATCCCAGAAGACACACTCAGTATATGACCTGGCTACCTATGGTTCCACTATGTGTCATGAAATGGCCTTATTATACAGCTTCACCCTCTCTGGACTATTATCTAAGAGGTAGACTGTGCAGCCAGGAACCCATCAAATGACACAATTGTTCTTGATCCTAAAGATAGTTGTAAGGAAAACGGCTCACTGTAGATCATGGTAAAAAGTCTTATGACTCAATTCCAGAGTCCCATAAACAGGTGAGGCTATCTGTCAGGGACACAGCACTTGACACAATGGAAGCCCCCAACCTCCAAAAGAGTTGTACTTATTCACACACTTGCAAAAGACTCACCCTATGCACACCTGAGGTACATAGGTATATTGTCTCAACATCAGCATACTGACACATCAAAAGGTCATTAGCATGATCATGTAGTATATATCTCTTTGATCTAAATATCACTTAGTGTTAAAATTTTTAGATGCTCTGAGCTATATTAACAAAATGAAGAATGAAAACAGAAGATATTATCAATAGGTGCTGAAAAAACATTTGATGGATTCAAGTATTTTCTATTTTTTAACAAATGTGCTATTTTTTTAAAATTATGTTTAGTGCATTGATGTTTCTCCTGTGTGTATGCTTATGTGAAAGTGTCAGATCCTCTGGAACAGGAGATGCCGACAGTTATGAGCTGCCATGTGGGTGTTGGGAATTGAACCTGGGGTCTTTGGGAAAATAACAGCCAGTGATCTGAACTCCTGAGACTAAAGTAATTTTATGATAAAATTTTCAACAAGTTATATATAGGAAGAAGATACCTGGGTACAACCAATCTATGATAGGCTCACTACCTGACAATCCAAGTTATCATTATGTTCAACATAGAATTATTTTTTCTTTAATGTCAAGATAAAGCAAAAACATTCACTCTTATTATCTTCATTTAGAAAAGTTATGTAAGTCCTAGATAAATCATTTATACAAGAGAACTAAATAAGAATTGTCATCATCAAGATTATTTAAATTAAATCAACTGTCCTTTTATGTTACATAATCTAGGCATGGAAGCTTAAACATACCAACCAAAAAGCATATGAGGAAATATGTAAATTAAATAAAAAGTGTAGGGATGGAATAAAAATTCAGTAGTATTTTTAATTTGGAAATAAAAAAACTTAAAAAGTAGTACTATTTACAATAACCTCAAGAAGAAAAGGAAAAGAGTGTGTGGCTTATGAATGCTAGGGTTAAAATGATGAGGATGGGAATGGAGGAAATTTAATGAGAGCGTTTGTGACTGTATATGAGATAGCTACACTGACAAGAGAAGAGGAAGGACAGGGCTTTAACAGCAAACAACGAAGGTGGTCTCCACAGACTCTACGAAGCTCCCCCTTCAAATCAAGGAACACGCTCACAACATTACTGAAGGCTCAGCAGTTAAAAGAACTGGCTGCTCTTCCAGAGGACATGGGTTCAATTCAGAACACCCACATGGCAGATCGTAACCATCTGTAACTCCAGTTTAGGCGAGATCTGAGGGCATCTTCTAATGCCCAAAGACACTGCAAACATGTAGTTAACAGACAAAACAAGTATACGTGCAAACTAAACAAACAATAAAAAAAATTGAAAAGTAACATTACTGCCCTCTTTTGTTAAACATTTCAGCTTGGTAGTGTGAAATTTAGTGTTGTCATCTTAACACAGTGTAGAATCACCTGGAAGGGACTCTCAGTGAGGAACTGTTTATATTAGAGTTACCCGTGGACCCACCAGAGAGGAATTCTTTTAAGTGGGATAATTGAGGTGGAAAGTGAGTGTGAGGGGAGTAAGCTTTGGATTGAATGGAAAGGGGAAAACCATAAAGCACCATTATGCATGCATTAATTCATTGCTCTCTGCTCTAGAGTGTGATATAGTGCATACTGCGTCAAGTTCATTTCACATTCAGCTTGCAATGATGAACTGTAACCTGGCTTTGTGAGTCAATAGATCCTCATACCTTAAGTTGATTTTTGTGAGGGTATTCCATCACAACAATGAAATGAAACCAAGACAGGGAATTATAGAATTTAAAGTCTTATATCTAGTCCATCTAACAATAACAAACTGAATTGTAAGTAAAATGGCTTCTTAGCCAGCTTCTGCTTATTCTATGAAACAGAGTACCCCAGACTGCCATAGGGGTAGACAAATGGAAAAGAAAGTACCAAGGCCTTGTACTCCAGTTGCTAAAGGCTGCCCTTTACCACGTCTTGACTTCGTCAAGAATTTGCTCAGCATTGACTTTCTGCCTTTACCCTCTTACTTTCTGGAATAAGGTTTGATAACATTCGTTACCTTTCTTTCAGTCTGAATTCTCTTGTGGCAACATAAGGACCAGAACTACTTCTGCAGTCAAGATGTTAGGGAATGTAAGAGTATACCATTTTGTTTCCTCTTATCTACAACTCTTGGGAATAGATTTTCCTGAAGTGTGATGTGAGATTCCCCTTGTATGCCATGATTACCATTAATGAATAAAGAAATTGCCTTGGCCTGTTGATAGGGCAGAACTTAGGTAGGTGAAGAAAACTAAACTGAATGCTGGGAGAAAGGGGGCAGAGTTGGAGAGAGCCATATTGCTCTGCCAGCAACAGATGCCAGAACTTTACCCAGTAAGCCACTGCCACATGGTGATAATTAATTAATTGGAAATGGATTAATGGAAATGGGTTAAATTAATATGTAAGGGTTAGACAATAAGAAACTAGAGCTAATGGGCCAAGCAGATATTTAATTAATATTGTTTCTATGTGATTATTTTGGGACTGAGAAGCTGGGAACCAACAAGTGGCCTCCTTCTACAAAAGGGGTGTATTTTTGCCAACTCTCATAAGTAACTGAGGATGACCTTGAATATCTTATTCCCCCACTCCCACCTCCATGTCCCAAGTGTTGGAACTACAGACACGACATGATGCTTTAATTAGGGTTTCCATTGGTGTTAATTAGGGTTTCCACAAGAGCAGGAGTAACTTGTGGAAAGGGTTCATTTGGCTTACCCTTCCACATGGTCCATCACTGAAAGAAGTAAGAACAGAAACTCAAACAGGGCAGAAACCTGGAGGCAGGAGTTGGTGCAGAGATTATCGACATGTGCTGTCTATTGGTTTGCTCACCCTGCTTTCTTATCAAATCGAGGACCCCCAGCTCAGTCATGGTACCACCCAAGATGGGCTGGGCTCTCTACCATGAATCACTAATTAAGAGAATGCCCTGTAGGCTTGCCTATAGACAGATCTGCTGCTGGAGCTCCTTCCGCTCCTTCAGCCAATAGTCACTGAGACATCAAGCCACTGGGATGTGGTCTCTCTCTCTCTTTTAAAAAGCAGCGGCAGCCTTCCTCTCTCTCTCTCTCTCTCTCTCTCTCTCTCTCTCTCTCTCTCTCTCTCTCTTGCTTCCAGCTACTAGACTCCTTTCCTGATTGTGCAGAGGGCTGTTGTCTGGGAAGGTGATCTGTAAGTTTTTTCCCTTTAAATAAATAACCATTCTATTAATCATACTTCCAAACTGGCGTGGGATTGTTTGTTACTTATGCCTTCACAGATCTTATAGAGGCATTTTCTCAATTTAGGTTCCCATCGCTTTGATGACTCTAACATCTGTCAAGTTGATATAAAACCAGCCAGCACACATAGGTTACCACACTTAGTTGTTGGTGCTTGGGATTGAACCCAAGGCTTCATGTGTGCAATTTAAGGTCCCTAGCAACTAACTTAATTTCCCAGCCTCTGCTTCTGCATTCTTCCTTTACTCTTAGAAAACATCCTTTTTTTGTAGCTAGTTTAAATTTTTCTTTTGCAAATTAAAAAATATCATAAGTTCCTATTTCATGCAAATCAGATAATTCATGTAGAAACCTATCCTAATCGAAAAGAAAATATGCATTGAACTTTAAATGCAGAGAAAACACTAAGAAACATGTAATCGAAGAAGTATCTCATAAGACTTATTTAGTGGTATTTTCTTCTCCATGATGTTGTGATGTTGCCAGGGTAACTCTGGCCACACCATGATGTCTGGAGGTTTCAGATTCGGTAATTTGGTTTGAAACATAAATTACTTGTTTCGTTATTACACACTGTTAGGTTTTTGTCATAGTAACACAAAATAAAATATTTCTTTAGGCAATAATGTTTATACTATAGCTTGAACAGATAACTCATGAGCTATGTGTGCATAGGCAATGGAACAGAGTGTATAAGGAATGAAAGTAGCTAGTGTCACATTCTAACTTGAGAAGACTAGTAGTTTGAATGACAAAGGCCTCCATGGGCTCATATGTTTAAATTCTTGGTCTTCAGTTGTTGGAGATGTTTGGGAACAATTAGAAGTCGTGGGCTTACTGGAGGAGATCTGTCAGTGGATATGGACATTGTGATTTCAAAAAAGCCAAGTTGTTCTTAGCTAGCTGTCTGTCTAATGCTTGTGCATCAGAGGTAAGATCTCCACTGTTGCTCCAGGACTATACTTACCAGGCTGTTACCATGGTGTCTGTCAAGAGAGTCATGAATATTATCCCTCTGGAATGGTAAGCTTCAGATTAAATGACTTCTATCATAAGTTTCTGTGGTTATGGTGTTTTTTTTTCAGAGTAATTCAAAAGGAACTAAGACAGTGTTAAATGAACAGTCAAGGATGCTGTACCAAACTAAATGATGCAGTTGGTGATGCAGAACGAGCCTAGAGAGGAGACTGAAGGACAATGATTGTTCTTTGCTAATGGGACATTGGAGGATATTCAGCAGGGGAGATTTAGAAAGGTAGCTTCTTGTTTTAGTTAGTCACTTTGAATGTTCTGTTAACATTAGAATGTTTATGCTGGGGTACAGGGAGATTACTCAGGAAGTTCTTGGAGTCATTCACAGAACACACAATCCAGGTTTCATCATGATTACATGGGTTGGTGCTAGTGACATGGAACCAGCACCTGGATATAGTTTGAAAATATCAAAGGGAAGTCATACAATTCTAGTAATTTTTATTCAGCAGCTGTAAAGATGTTGCTACCAGTGACTCTAATTAGGAATATCATAATTCTCAGACAATAACTAGATGATTTTATTGTGTGTTTTGATATCTATGGTTATATTACATAGGCAATTTGATATACAATTAACAAGTTCTGATGAGGCTATATGAATTCAGTATGTCCCAATACTTTAGTGTCACTGACGCTCTCAGGCAATAATGCTATGAAGGATTTGATCATTGGGTTATCTTAGTTCTTACCCTCTGGATGCCTATTTGTGTAAGATATTGCAGTGGTTAGCATAACCCCAAGTGATTCTTAGAAAAATAAAGAGGTGGAAGGCGAATCACAAGATTGTAGCTTACAGTGATAGGATTCATTAAAACTAATATTTCAAAGGGGCAAAACCATAAGCCTAAGGCAGGTAACCTTAGTGATAAACATTTTTGTTAGTTGATTATTTAACTTATATTCATTAGTCTATGTACACTGGAAAACAAATAAGAATTTTTGAATATTTCCTTCTGTCTATTGCATGTTTTATTATTTGTTATATATTATATACTTAACCTACCTTGCAATATTCATTGTCTATATTGTTTCTTCCCAGCTTTATAAAATACTAGCTCTTTGTTTCATATGTAAGAAGTTAGATTCATTTCTACACTGGAAATGAGAATAGCATTGTAACCTTGTGTCCTTGCCATATTGGTCTGAGTCATTGGAAGCTGATGATATTTTTATGTCTTGATTCAATGTGTCACAGTATAGATTTGCTGCATTTAGTCATTTCCCAGAAGTTTCATAAACTTTCAAAGAACTTTTGTTAAAGATACCTTAAATTACAATGTATGAATCTTGGCCTTTACAGACTCATGTTAATGCCATACTGCAAAATGTATTCAGTTCATCTCCAAAAGTTATCACACTCTGAATGACCAAAAATCTCCTTAAAAAGACAATTATAAATCCAGTTTTGTTAAGCAATATAAACTTAGACATAAGGCACTGTGAAATCAATTTATGTAAGTTCAAATTACAGTGGTGTAGAGGAAACAATTCCAGGCAAAAGAAATAGAAGAAAAACAAGAAAGGGACAAACTAAAACAAGATGAGAACTCAGTGGGGACAACATTCAATCTTTATTCCCATATTCATTTTCTGCATTATGTTTTTATGGTGTGGAATTCACATGATTTGGAAGCCCCATCCATCGATGGCCCTACCTGTGAGATGGTTTTTATTGATCTGAAAAAAAAATTTCCTTAGCAAATGTTCCACATTCTTGTCATCTCTAAATTCTTGGAATCTTCAGGGTGTGTTCACCTTCTTTGCTCTTACATCTCCATTCTTCACTCAGTTATGGAATGTCAATGTTGATCCTGTGTTACCCTCTCTGGCTGTCCTTTGAAACCTAGTTGAAAGTGACTCCATAATTGTTTCATTCTGTATGATTGTAAAGTCAACATCAAATTCACAATGAATTTCTAAACAATAGATTTTGCCCTTTGGATCACAGGTGCCATGGTGTCTGAGTATCTGGATTGTTGTATTTAGGCAAAACCTTTGCCAAATGACCCAGCACCAGGGAACGTGCTAGAACTCTACTTTCAAATGAGCCACAGCCTTTATAGCCTTGCACCTATAATGAGTAGGATCCAGCCAATTACCCAGATGCCCACAAAGAACATTTTCTACAGCTTATATGCAAAATACATGCCTTCATTTAATGACACTGCTCCTTCTAAAAACCATGCCTCACTCCTAGATTTGCCTAGACTTTTGTGAATTTTTAAAATATTGTTTATTTATTCCTTTATGAATACCCTCTATTTTCCCTTTTCTTCTAAAGATATTATTTGTTTTCTTTCTTACTTAATTCTTTGTGGTTGCCTAGAGTCTACAGCTACTTTATATTTGCATAAACTGTAATAATCTGTAATCAATCCTAGTATCATGTATTGTTATTTTACCACATATCATCTATTAGGTTAAATAAGGAATCTAAAGAGAATGAGAAAGAAATGAGGAATACCATTTTAGAAGAATCACAGAATTTAGTCTGATTTTACTGTAAAACCCATGAAATTGAGGCAGCTTTTCTATCTGAGCACCCTTGACCTTTCACACTCATTCTTGTCTATGTCAAATGTATCTTAGACTTTAGTTATTGTTTGTTTTACTAGTCCAGCAATTTAAACAGCTTGACATAATAGAGCACCATAGTCTGGATTAGTTGTACAGACAAATGAAAAATGTTTAATTCTCAATATTCTAAATGCTAAATAACCATGAGAGCAGGTGGTAGCTCTGGTTGGCTCTGGTGAGAGCCTTCTGGTGTTGTCATCATGAATGGGTGAGTCATTCATGTGGCCCCACCTTTCACTGCAGGACTATGGACGGTAGTAGCTGCTGGAGTAAGAGGAATCATTTTATTTAGTGGTGTGGTCCCTATTACATTGCCCCTATTCCAGGAAATAAACCCATTCCCATTCATGTCAGCAGCTAAAATCAGACGTGGTGTGTTTCACATACATTTAAACACACCAAACCTGGAGGGAGCCATAATAACCACAGCAGTTGTGTGTTCATGAATTCAACCACCATGCTGAAGGGGACCGCCACACAGCGGGGGCTTCCTCCTGGACACTGGGTTATGCAAAAACCACACCCAAACATCTGCTTTTACAGAGATATTCTTTTTAAGTGGGGAAGAAAAGTTAAAGTGATTGCTTTATGCCTGAGTCAGAAAGCAGCAGCAAATGACTTTGCAGGTGTCACTTTTACTAGGGGAAGAAGGGCAGGTCTGTGTAAGAATTGGCAAGGATACATTTATAAAGGAGATAGGTAAAGGGAGAGAAGGGGAATGGGGCAATGGGGAGGGGGTATTTGTCCAGGAGGAACAAAGGCTGCCCCTGGACAGAGAGGTCATAGATGTGCCACATAGGCCAAGAACACTTTGTAAAGGTAAAGGGTAATCTGAGTTAGGATGTGGTGTTTCATTTTAATTGAGCATGTTAATTAGGTGAACCAAAGGGGCTCTTGATTGGTGGACCTTGTCAGGCAGTATCTTACTTTTAGGAATCTAGACTAATGTTTATTTTAGCAAGGCAGAGAGAATGGGGTAAAAGGGCAAGGCCTGACAGAGATAGATGCTTTAGTCGTTTAGTGTCCCTTCACATGCAATATTCAGAAGAGAGTTTCACATTAGTCCTCCATTCCAGTGATGGGCTCTTGTGTCCTCTGTCAGGTTCCTTTGCTTCAAAGTACCCTGTGTCATGTATCTAAAACCAGAAGTCTGAATAGGTCTTTAAATGTACTAGTTTCTTATAGAAGAATATGTATATCTTTATTCTAAGGACTATGGCAATTTTCTTTGACTGTATTCCATATACAGCTATCATCTTTATCATCATGATTATTATTCAATATACTGTCATCATCATCATCATCATTATCATCATCATTTTATGTTAATCGACCTTTTGGCTTTGTATGTACCACATGTGTTCCTGGGGCCCTCTGAAATCAGGGAGAGTGTTGAATATGCTGGAACTGTGCTTATAGACAGCTGTGAGATGATCCCGTGTGAGTCCTGGGAATTGACCCCATGTTTGTTGGAAGAGCAGCCAATGTTCCCAGGTGCTGAGTCATTTCTGCAGTGTCAGTAGTAGGACAACGGGGCTCATAGCTGTGGTTTTCCTTTCTACGTCTTCTTCAAGCTTCCCAGCTTATTGTGTTTTAATGCAAACAATAAATTTTAGAATTCCATTTAGAGAACTCTTAGCTATTGTTTCATCAAAGATTTGAAGCATCAGAATTTTAAATTTTTAGTTATAGACCTTTTAGCACAAGAGCCTCCTTTTGTTTTCCCTTCATGGTTTTTGTTCCTCTTCTAGACTCTCTCACCTGTTCTCTCATCATCACTAGGTCACCTTTTAAATGACGAAAAGTGCAGTATTAGCTGCTCTCTAGAAACGGCAACGTCAGACAACTGTACCAGACTCTGAGCTCCTTTTTAAAAAATTGATTCATTATTTTATATTATAATAACTCATACAAGAAATTTACAGAAAACCATATTGATTAAGCCAAGTCAAAATATGAATTCTTTATTAGCTGATGACAAAGAGCAGGCTCATGCCTCAACACCCATTGATGCTCAAACTCAGGGTTACAACATTTTAAAGGCAAAAACCACAAAGTCCAAAGTTTACATAAATGTTACATGAGGGTCAGTGTAACCTTGGAACATTTATTTCTGGCAGAGTATAGCAACAGCTCTAGACATGACAAATATTTTTGAGTTTTATATTTTCCAGTTATTTTTAGCTTATATTAAGTTTGTGTAAAGATTAGTTATTTTAGTTAATACATCTGGACCATGGAAATCACAATTTTTTTTAAAGGTATATGTTAGGGGTAGATAGATAAGAACTCAAAGCAAACCTAAAATGAGTCTGGACAAGGTGGTGTTTTGCTAGACACTGCAATGTATCTGTGAGTGCATATGTGAGTTGTCATGTGCATGCAGGAGCCCGTGGAGATGAGAAGAGGGTGTCTGATGTGGTGGAGTTAGAGTAACAGACTACTGTGAGCTGGCATGCGGGTGCTGGGAACTGAACCTGTGGCCTCTGAAGAGACAATAATCACTCTTAAGCTTTGATCCAGACTCCGAGTTTCTTAACTTTTTCAACCCAAGTTGCATTTGTTCTGTTTTGTTTTTCATTAAACCAGTTCTTGCTATCTCAAGCAGTACCATCAACACATCTCTTAAATAATCTTAAAAGGTACCTGGTTAGGAATTTGGGTGAATGGGCTTTATCTCTGGTCTACCTACTAGATATACTGAGACTCAAAAACATTTGAACCCTGGGAATACAGACTAGGCTGAATAAGACAGTGTAGCAGTGTTCCACAAACAGAAAAACCAAGCAGCAACATGGCTCACTGAGTAGCAGCACCTGTCACGCAACCCCAGACACCTGAGTTTGATCCCTGGACTCCACATAAAAGTGGGAGAAGAGAACCAGTACCATCAAGTTGTCCTATGACCTCCACATGTACACTGTGGCGTCTCCTGCTCCTAACACATAAAACAAATTATAAACTTAAACAGTCATGTTTTGTTATTCATAGTTTAATAAAAATTACGCTAATGAAATAGTTACGATGGCTTATTAAACTCACAGGTATATGCTTTCTTAGATGAACAGTCTCCAAGATAAAATTGTTTTCCATTCAGATAATAACAACTATGATTCTTTTTTTCTGAATCATTAATTCTGTGTAAAAACAATAAAAAAGAAATCAGAAATCAAGAGGTGGTCACTGCAGATGGCATTTCTTATCTCAAAGTTAGAATTAGCTAAACTTAAACAAGTATGGGACAAAATGCAGAAAAATATTACTGGGAGAAAGTGAAGAGCCATGATGGAGTAGGGTGGGGGTGGGGTGATTTAATTGCAAATCAGCAAGCTTAATAGAAAGCATCAGGCACATGCTAATCTTACACTGTCTGAGAAAATAGACCTGTGATTCCAATAAAAAGGAAATGGCACAAAGATTAGAGTTACTGACTTCCTAAAATGATGTGTAAGTGTCTCAGGGGAGTCCAGTAGAATAAAAACACACACGTTGCAAAGGTGAGAATACCTGAGGCTAACATGTGTTCTCTATTATGGTACACTGCTGCTTCCATAGCAGAGCTCTCTCCTTTCTTCTGGGTGCTCCTTCTGTGCCACACACAGACAGGATGCACATGTACAACAATCCCACTACCCTCAGCAAGTTCCACTTTATCCAAACATTGCACTTACATCGTTTGCTGTATTTTGGTGCCATTTTCGCACAACCAGGACTCATCTTTTTCATCTATGTTGAGTATAATCCACCCTTGAATTTCAAACAAAAGCAAGTTTTCCTGTTGAATACAGAACAATCACAATCCATAACTGCTTATATAATCCTAATCAAATTTTTCTTTTCCTTTTTAAAAATATTTAAATATACACATATATTGAACATTTGAGACAGAATTTCACCCCATAGTCCAAGTTAGTCTGGAAACTCACTGTAAAAACAAAACTGGCTTCAAACTCAGGGTGGTTCTCCAGTCTTGCCCTCCCAAGTGCTGGGGTTAAGGGAATGAGTTTCTAGCCTAGCGAATCTGCTCCTTTTTTACTAAACAGCAGTTTGGGGTCTCCCAAGGGCTTGCACAAGGAAAACATTCTTGTGGGAGCTCATTTGTTACTTTTGCTTTCATGTAACGTTATACATTGTAATGCTGCAGACAACTCTCTACTTTTTCACCCAGGAAAAATAGTAAATCATCATTAGTTCCATCACAGGCCTTCCATAACATTCAGTGTTCTAGATCTTCATGACCAGCGCTCTCAGAGCAAACAGTTACAAAGACACAGGAAAGTAGGAGCCTGTGACCCACCAGCTCTGCTTTGGAGTCTATCTCCACAAGATGAGAGTTCCATTCCTCGCAGGAAGATTGACTGTCAGCCCAGCTTTTTATTTCACGAAAACTATGATAAAAATTGTTTCCAAAAGCAATCCAGTCCAGTGAACAAAGGTAACAGGCGCCATCTAGGAAACACACATATGTGAAATGGGTGCTCAGCACTAGAATAACCCTCATTAATGTAACTACTAGGCTTTTGTGAGACTTGTGAATACTCCTTAGAGAGCGAAGCTTCATTAATATTTTTGCTGGTGCCACAGGTTAATGCAAGCTCCAAGGATGCTCAGCCAGCTTCCTGCCCATGAGTTACACTACAGTCCTAAGCACTATGTAAAAGTACTCAGTAATATTTATACAATCCTTATCTGATAACAATTAGTGGCGACAAATTTTTGTTTTAAAATTTTCTACATAAAAATCAGTATAAATTGATTTCTGTAAAGGAAACAAGTTCCAATATTATTTTTGACGTAATGATGTATAAATATGCAATGGTAAGTGACATAATTATGTGAATAGAAAAAAGCAGTTACTTAAATGATTCTCGATCTGCAGTTGTTTTTATGAATACACAAATATGTGTCTCTGTATACACAAAATTAAAATACATAGGAAGCTTTAGACTGGTATTCTCAGTATTTAAGAAATGTACATTTCATTTCCATTTCTATTACACTTAGAATCATCCATTTGCCCTCAGAAAAATGAGGGCAGTTCCTTCTCACTCTCTCATGTCATACAATTATTTCCATGGCAACATGTGTTTATGAAACATGTCCACCACTATTTATATCACTCTCAGCGCTGCTGTACATATTCCTACTAGCATGGTCCATTAAGCCCCGCTTAAGGCATTCAGCTGCTTTCCTAATCTAAATTCCTGCAGTCCACATTCCCCTGACAAGGAAAATCGTTAGAATTATCACAACAATATGCCACTCCCTTGTATCATTTCTGTCTTAGCATTCTCTAGAGGAATAGATTGAATAGCTATGTTTATATGTACTTTTTTTTTTAGAGTGGCTTACAGGCTGTGTTACAGTTTTTTTTTTTTTTTCAAAACTAACTCTCTTCCAACAGAAAATCCAAGAAACCAGCAGAACAGTCTACAAGGCTGGATGTCTCAACTGATTTTCAGTATACACAGGAATACTGAAGAAGTAGGCTTTTATGTCAGTAAAGGAATGGACTTGCCATCAATTGTGAGGGCAAGCAGGTAAGAGCAAAAATTTCTATTTTTTGTGTCCTTGATATAGGCTGCATAGGAAGTAGTGACACAGATTAAAGGTGGATCTTACCCCCTCAAAATATCTGAATTTACATTGTGTCTTCCCACTTCAAATCATTTGATTAAGAAAAATTCCTCAGACCAGATGTATACCCAAATGTTTGGGTTTGAGTTAATTCCAGATGTAGTCAAGTTGACAACCAAGAATAGCCAGCATACTTGTCTACCATTGACCTGGTGACAGCTGTTTTGAATGTTTACAGTTAAGAGACATTATGATGAAATATTTAGAAATATCTGTACACAATCATCTGAGGATTTGGTTTTCTTCACCCTATTCACATGCATAATTGTAGAATTCATGAGAATGTATACCAGGACTGTTTTCTCTACAGGATCATCATTCTTTTTTACTAGGAATAAGCACACCTAGAAATACTTTCTAATAAATTGATATTTATTTTCAAGCAACGGCATAATGAAAAATTTATATTTAGTACTCAACATATTTAAATCTAATTTTTTCTCCTAATAGAAATTTTAAAAACCCACGTATACTTGTAATCTTTGGGGATTTTGTTTTTAGATTCTCTTTTCTTAGAGTTAATCCATGTGAGTTCCTCCCTGGTAAGGGACTGAATGAACAACACTGTATCAGCCTTTTATCGTTCATCAACATTGGTGGAAATGAGAAGGATCTTTTTTCCACTAATTCAAAGTCCCTGAAGTGAACCCTACAGAGTTAATAGTCACCAAAATCCTTAGGGTTAATACTCACCTTCCTCCTTAGGAAGCAGAGGATCAAGAAGCAAGTTTTCTCTGCTTTGTTCTTGGCTAGAAAATACTGGGGAACAATTCAAGGCAGTAATTAGTAGTGTTTAGGATATGATCATTGGGGTGCTGTGAAATAGTTTGCACAGGGAGTCAGACTATCATCATATTGCCGAAAGCACAACTGGTATAGGAGGTTCTTTTGTTCGTGTCTTGCTTCATTGGTTAATGAATAAAGAAACTGCCTTGGCCATCTGATAGGGCAGAACTTAGGTAGGTGGGGAAAACAGAACTGAATTCTGGGAGGAAGAAAACAGAGTCAGGGAGACGCCATGGTTTGTCTGCCTGAGAAAGATGCTGGTTAGAATCCTTCCCAGAAAGCCACTGCCACATGGCGATAGACAAATGAGTAGAAATAGGTTCAATTAAGATGTGAGAGTTAGCCATAAGATGCTAGAGCAAATGGACCAAGCAGTGTTTTAATTAATACAATGTCTGTGTGGTTGTTTCGGGTGTAAGCTAGTTGGGTGGCCGGGCCGAACAAGCAGGCCCTCTTCCCTGCAATACACAACTACTATAACACAAAGGAATTCCATAATTACTTACATTTTGGAAGTAATATCCCCACGGTTGTCATAAGCACCACACACAAGACTCCAAGGATGCCAGTTACTATTTTCCATACAGTTGTTTTCGGACCTGAAAAGAAAAACAGTGACAATGAGTGAGTTTCAAACTTTGAGGTAGGTAGTGAAGATACAGTCTGCCTCCATTTTAGGATTTAAAGACATCTTATAGAAAATAAAACTAGGTTCATTCCTGTTTATGAACAAACCTCTGTTTCTTAAGGATTTGGCTATGCTCAACCTGTAACCTTAACTACAAATGGTTCTGTACTGCCTGTTCCAGGAATGGCAATCATGTCTTAGTTTCAAATTTTTTTACAACCATCTTGCAACCTTACCTCTGTTTTAAAAGGTTGTATGACCATGCCTACCTGTTCTTATGACTGCCTTGTTATGTCCACCTTGCACAACAAGCCGATTGTTGTGTCAGGACGCTGTTAGAACTAACATGAATACTTATGTCCTCTTCCTGTGACTCCACCTATTTTGCCTGCCAAGTCCTCCAGTTGAGAACCCCCTAACCCTGAGTTATAACATCCCTGTTTTCCTCACACCCAGTACTGACCTCTTGAACCCTGCCATAGGAGCAGTCAACCTGTGTTAATGAATAAAAAAAACCTTTCTTTACTTAATTGCTTGTTTTAATTAATAAGGCCTTAATGATTTGGGTTTATTGTCATTCTCCTCCCATCTTTGGGATCATTAGTCTCTTAACTCCAATTTCTTTGAGATATTCAAATACCACATGTTATCTGGCTTTTACTGGGTAAATAACTGTGATGAATGCCTTTCTAACTGTGGGAAGAGTTAATGATGACTAATCACTTACAGGAATATTAAAATAGTTTGTAATGAACCAAGGGGTAGCTTAGCAGGTAAAAGCACTTGCAGTGCAAGCCTGGTAACCTGAGTCCCATCCCAGGAGCCCAAGGAAAAAGCCTGTGGTATGCATTAGCATCTGTATCTGTTACTCTTATGGGTAGCAATAGGAAAATTGGCGACTAGAAGCTCACAAGCCAACTAGCTTGGGGTAGGCTACAGAAACTTAAAGACTCTGCTGAAAATCAAGGTGGAAGCAGAGAGCAGATTCCTCCAGTTCCTCCTTTCTTACATATCTATAAAAAAAGAAAAAAAAGACAGAAATAAAGTTATGTGTTTTTTATTATATTTAACTTCTTAATTTTACTTCTGTTATCTGGTTAAATATAACATAATTTTACCTCTGAAATACTATGAAAAATATTTCTCTGTAATCGCTTATTACTGTGACACTAAAGTATAATTTTTTTTTCTAATCTGGTGGCTTTTTCTCCTTCATCCCTTTGGTCTACTGCGTGTTCAGATCAGACCCACTGAGACTGAATTAGACTTAACTGAATAAAGGTGACATCAATAGCTATTTTCAAATGAAAATGAAGAATGAAGTCAGTCATGTTCGCTCACACCTGTATTTCTACCACTTTAGAAACCTAAAGCAAAAGCACTGCTTTTGTGTTCAAGCCCATCTTGGATACAGTATAGGGCTTGGTATCATAAAAATGGGGGAGGGGAAAAAGAATTTATTTTTATTTTAAGTCTATTTGTTTATTTTACATTTTTTAAAGATTTATTTATTTATTATGTATACAACATTCCTTCTATGTGTGCTTGCAGGCCAGAAGAGGGCACCAGATCTCATTTTAGATGGCTGTGAGCCACCATGTGGTTGCTGGGAATTGAACTCAGGACCTCTGGAAGAGCAGTCAGCGCTCTTAACCTCTGAGCCATCTCTCCAGCCCCTGTTTATTTTACATTTTGACCACAGTTTTCCCTCCCCACTCTCCTCCAAGTCTCTCCTCAACCTCTCCTTCTGCCTCACATTCATGACTCATTTTCTGTTAAGAAAGGGGCAGGCCTCCCTGGATATTAACAAAACACGTCATATCAAGTTGCAGTAAGACTAAGCACCTCTCCATGTATTAAGGCTGGACAAAGTGACCCAGTATGAGAAAAAGGGCTCTAAGATCCAGAAAATATGGAAGAGATTGCCCTGCTCCCACCATTAGGAGTGCCACAGAAAGACCAAGCTACACAACTGGCCCATATATGTAGAGGGCTTCATCAGTCCCACACAGGCTTCCTGATTGTCAGTCAGTTCACACTCTGCGAGTCCCTATGAGCCTAGGTTAGTTGGTTCTTTAGGTTTTCTTACAATGTACTTGACCCTTCTGACTCCTACAATCATTCCTTCCTCTCTTCAGCAGGACTCCCAAAACTCTGCCTAATGTTTGGTAGTGAATCTTTGTCTCTGTTTCCATCAGTTGCTGGGTGAAGCCTCTCTGGTGACAATTGGAGTAGTTACCAATCTGGTTACAGGAGACGGTCAGTTCAGTCTACATATCCACAATTGCTAGAAGTCTTAGCCAAGGTCATCTTTGTATATTCCTTGGAGTTTCCCTTGTGCCAGGTTTCTACCTGACCCTGAAATGCTCCCCTCCTTTCTAGTCATCTCTTTCAGTACTCACCGTGTCATACCCCCTAGTCTGGTCCCTCATGTTCTCATCCCCCCTTTCCCTGACTATGAAATTTCTCCTATTTCCCCTTCCCAAAGAGATTCAAACAACCCCACTGAGCCTCCCTTGTTACTTGTCCACTCTGGGTCTGTGGATTGCAGTATAGTTATCCTTCACTTTATAGCCAATATCCACTTATAAGTGAGTACCTATCATGTTTAACTTTCTGGGTCTGATTCACCTCATGCAGGATGATTGTAATTTTTAAAATATCATTCAATTGTGTTCTTAAACACAATACAATTCTGTTGTAATCTGTTTCTTAGATGCTTGAGAGAAACAGATCATAATTTATTCTACTGTAGTATCCTAGACTAGCTGGGGTCAAGGGTGTTACAAAGATATGTAATTAATATATTGTGACTAATTTAGCATGGTTATACTTCCTTTTCGTTCTGTTGTTGTGACAAAAATACCCTGCGAAAAAAAAGTACATTGAATGTGAAAGGGGCCTTTTCAGTTTATAGCATGTCCTTTTATAGCATGTCAGAGACGTATTTTATACGTCTGTATAGGACGTATATTTTATACGTCTCATCTGTATAGGAGCTTGAAGTGACTGGTCACATGAACAATCAAGAGCAGAAAGCCATGAACACACTCATGCTTAGTGTTGACCTATCCTTTTCTGCTCTTACAAAGTTCAAAGCTCCAAACTTGGGAATAGTGTCTTTCCATATCAGTTAGGGTACCAATACAATCCACTACAGACATGGTCCCAGGCCAAACTGATATAGACAGTCTCTTAGTAGGACTCTTCCTCATTGATTCTATGCTGTGTCACATTGACCATTAGAAATAGTCAAGGCAGGCATTGAAGCTGCAATCTAAAACCTAGTGCTGAGATCTGTCACTAGCAGAATGAATACACCACTGTACCTTGTCTTTTTTTTCTGACCACCCGTTTAGGGGAGAGGAGCTGAGGCGTTCTGTGGAATGTCATTTCTGCATAGTTTAGTTGCTCTTCACTTAGCATTACAGAGCTCTGCTTGGCTTTAGGTTTTCTTTGCTTCTGTGTAGATTTAGTTGTCTTTATCTCTGTGTAAGAAATGTCCGGCTTGTTTGCTGTATATTCATGGTGTTTGCTGTGAGGCATTTTGTTCTGCTTCACCTCAGTTTTGGCAGCCTGCTGCCCTTCTACTGGAGTATCTCTGCAACAAAAACAACAACAAAAACACATACACATGCACCCTGCATTGCTGAGCCATCTCTGAGCCTTGGCTCTCACATAATATCCTAGACTAGGATTTGATTATGAAATTGGCAGGTGAAATGAAGAAAACAAAAATACAAATCCCTCTCTGATGTAATACTTTCATTGTTCAGTATTTTCAATCCTCAGTAATGAGTTTTTCCACCAAAGAAATAAGTCACGTCAAGTTGAATTGATAAGACCATGTTTAATTTGAGCAAAACACTTCTGTGCATTGTGATCTCAGAGAAAGAAGGAAGACTACAGGTCTATGGACCAGAGCTTAAATACCACCATAAGTACAGTCTTGAGCAGCTCCAGAATAAAAAACACCACCTGGCAGGCTTTCTCGAGGGCAGGGTTTGGAAAGGAGGATGGGGGGCTGAGGCAGAGCTTCTTATGAAACAGTTCTATGATTCCTTAAAAAATCACAACCACTTTCCCTCTCTGAGCTTGCTTTTAAAGGTTTTGACATGGAATTTTCTACAAGATACCTTCTTGGCATTCCATGCAAGATTAAAATCTTTAATAGTAAAAAAACTGGCTAAAATGTCACTGTATTAATGAAAAAATAAAGATTTTAATTAAAGCCAATTTGAATTCTGGTGCCTATAAAATATATTTGTGAAATAAAGTATTATTTGGTGGAGTATAATATTACTAGAGACAAAGTAAATTTACCTAGGAACTCAAAAAATTTGGGCAGAAGCATGCTAGTCTCCTTACCCAAGACCATTTTCTATCTAAGAAGTTCACAATCATTTAACACACACACACACACACACACACACACACACACACACACACACACA